CTTCTTGCTTCTTACCCAGGCTGGTCTGTCTGAGGAAAGTACTGAGTGGCTTAGATACACTTCCTCTTACACACGACCACAGGCCTGTGCACCACTTGCTGTCCCACGGGTTTATCTGTGCCAGGCACCCTCTGCTGCTAGACCAGGACTAAAAGATGAAAGGTTTGCCCTTTTGCCAAAGCAGGTGATTTTGATTATGGGAAATTCCATTTCAGCTTCTTATGCGTGGCTAATAGTCACCAAATCACTGCTGCTTATGACAATTATTGTCAACTCTAAAACTCCTCTCCATCTTTAAACGTTCACAGATCCTTTATAAAGATACCAGGGCCAGGGGCCATGCAAGCCTCACAGCGCAGCTTCCCAAGTCCTCCCAGCCCTGCATGTTTTGCTTCCTCCGCTTTGACTTCCTAATGAAGAACGTTCAAAGTGATATTATCCTGACCAGGAGTTTGATTAGTGGCACCGGAAATTGATTCAGATAAATTTTCTGATCTTTCAAAATGTTTTCAGAAGGTCAAATTCTGTTGTGTGGCATGCAATAAATTAATTTACACTTTAGTGCCTTCATTGAAGTATATTATTTGCTCCTCAGCCCAGTGTGGCTGCAGCAGGTCATTGATGATAGTGCAAGGCGTGCCAAGAACTGTTCCAGATTATAAAACATGGACATTGATTTTTCTTTATTTTTATTTCTCTTTATATTTCAAGAATTTATCTAGGAAATTGTATTTATGTTTGCAAATGTAAAGGAACCTGATGATAACATAATGCTTTGGTTTCATTTTCCTTAGGAAGCAATAGTTAGTTCTTGGATTTTGTTCAGTGATGGCTCGGTGACACCTTTAGACATTTACGACCCCAAGGATTATTCAGTTACTGTCTCATCATTGGATGAAATGGTGGTGTCTGTCCAGGCCAACCTGGAGTCTAAATGGCCGGTTGTGGTTGCAGAGGGTGAAGGACAAGGGCCCCTGATTAAGTTAGAAATGATGATCAGTGAACCGTGCCAGAAGACCAAGAGGAAGAGTATTCTTGCTGTGGGTAAAGGAAATGTCAAGGTCAAATTTGAACCAAGTATTGACGAGCACCATGGAGGTACCAATGACATCGAGGGCATAAACCGAGAGTATAAAGACCACCTCAGTAATTCCATAGAACGTGAAGGAAACCAGGAAAGGGCAGTTCAGGAATGGCCCCACCATGGTGCAGCTGTTGGCCAAGAGCAAAGTACCAACAAAAGCACAACCCCACAGTCTCCCATGGAAGGGAAGAACAAGAAGCTACTCAAGAGCGGTGGTCCAGACACCTTCACCAGCTTCCCCACCCAAGGGAAGTTACCGGAGTCCAATAATCCCAGTGACCTTACAGTAACCTCAAGGGGGTTAACAGACCTGGAGATCGGCATGTATGCCCTGCTGTGTGTCTTCTGCCTGGCCATCCTGGTCTTCTTAATCAACTGTGTGGCATTTGCGTGGAAATACCGACACAAAAGGTTTGCTGTGAGCGAGCAAGGCAACATCCCCCACTCCCACGACTGGGTCTGGCTGGGGAACGAAGTGGAGCTCTTGGAGAACCCCGTTGACATCACGCTCCCGTCAGAGGAGTGCACAACCATGATAGACAGGGGGCTGCAGTTCGAGGAGAGGAACTTCCTTCTGAACGGCAGTTCCCAGAAGACTTTCCATAGTCAGCTGCTCAGACCTTCTGACTATGTCTATGAGAAGGAAATTAAAAATGAACCTATGAATTCTTCGGGCCCAAAGAGGAAGAGAGTCAAGTTTACTTCCTACACCACCATCCTCCCGGAGGATGGCGGCCCGTACACCAACTCCATCCTGTACGACAGCGATGATAACATCAAGTGGGTCTGCCAAGATATGGGGCTGGGCGACTCCCAGGACTTTAGGGACTATATGGAAAGACTGCAAGACCAGATGTAAACTCCTTTCTTATGTTTGTATTCACCTTTATGCCTTCTGTTTTTTGAATGGTGGAGCAGTGAGGTTGATCAGCAATAGGGGATGATTTAACAAAGTTCAATGTGTGGAGGTCTGGTGGGATCCCTTTCTAAGCGGGCACCAGAGGTGCAGCTGGGCATTAAGCCAGGAAACGCCTCCAAAACAGCCACACGTAGGGACTGGAAAACTTCTAAGACAACAGTTCTACTGACTGCCTGGTTCTAGCTCAGTGCAAATATAACAAACCCGACCCCACAGACATTGTTAGTCACCTTGCGACAAATGGCCATGTGGAATTAGAAAAGATTTGGATGTTAATTTTTCTATTCCTAGACCTTTTAAAGCACAGCGGACACTTATTGCCCTTGGCCTGAGTTTAGACATACACGAAAGATGACTGAATGTAGCTATCCTTATTTGTTACGAGCGCTGCTCATTATTTTTATATACATTTGCTCCTGCACCCGTTCCTTTGACCTCTGGAATTCTTTTTGAAACACAGAGAGAAGACGTTTCCGTCTTTTCATTGACATCTGTTTGATTTATATCTGAGTTTCATTCCCCGGGATTTTCCATGTTGTCTTCGGTCCTGGGTCTCCATGTAGGATGTCAGGTTTTTCTGGGTTTCTGTGCTTCATTGTTTAGGGAAGGTATCCAAGAAGCTTATTCTCACGTTGTTTTTCCTTTCTGTTGTTGTTGAACTTTCTTGTATAAGACTGGGACAAGGAGTTTTATTTAAAATGTTAATATACTGTCAGGGAGGGCCATCTCTTTCCCGTTTTCTACATGAAGTTTCAAAAATTTGGAGAAAAGTTACGAATCGCAAACACTTATTTTTATTCTCTGCTTGTTGACAGTTCACGGGGAACTCCTGGTGTGTACTTCGGAGGGCAAAAAGACCACAGCATAGCTGTATTTATTCATATTCTTTGTGGTCAACCCAATTTATTATCCAGACTGAAATCTAAAAAACAGAATTGATCTACACAGAAGGGAAATTGCCTGGGACGTAGCTGCAGATTAAACTTTTCCTTTTACCAGAACAAAAAAAAAAAAAATTTTTTTTTTATTAAAGTAAGTAGAATGATGTTTCAAGCTAGCAATATATAAGAATCCATCTGTACAGTGATTTTTCCCCCAGAATAACCTCAATTGTGACTCTGGCATAGGTAAGACCTTCACAGGGTGAGCATTGGTGGAGAAAAGCAATGAGATTTCCCCCCAAATCTGTACAAATCAGAGGCTGTTGTAGAGCTCAGAAGGCAGCTGTTGTGGGAAAAAACACTGGTATGGAAAAATCAAAGGAGCAAGGGGGAAAAAAAAGCAACAATTCCTACATAATCTGTAAATAAAATAATGTTGTTTTTAAGAGCATGATGAATGGTCTTAAGGAAAGCAAGAACTTCAGGTTAGCAAAATGTGATGCCAATTTTATTTATTAAGATGACATTGTTGGAGAAGCAGACACTGCTAGTGGGCCTCCTTGGGAGCTTTACTGAGCCATTTGCATTTCTGAGAAATAGAATTTTAAAGGCTCAAAGTAGGAAGGCCCTGCGGGAGGTCCCCTCAATAGTTCCCTATCCAAATGGCTGATAAGGGAGCTAGCCAAAAGAGAGACCTTGAATTGTTCTCTTCTTATAAGTGGGAATAGGACAGCGCAGCCTCCTCTGGCCATGAGGCGATAGCCGAAATGTTGTTCTTCTGTCTCTTGCCAACCAGCACTACAGTGTGTGTTGTGAATTGTGCTGAAATTGCGGGTGATGCAGGCCTGACCTCTGGAGGTTGGCGTTCAGTTGGTTGTATGAGCGTTTAAAGACAGAAGCTGGTGAAGTCTGTAAAATCTTTCAGTCTGAGTGGCTAATGAAGCTGGGAGAGTCAGGCATTACTGCAAAAGGAGTTTGCAAAGAGATGACTGACACCTTCTAGGAAGAGCTCTTACCCAGTGAAAGGCTTCTCAAAGGGTTTGGTGGGGAGGGAGCCCAGAGCCCACTGTGCAGGACTCAGGGAAGGTGATGTGCTAATTGACACATAGCTATCCAGGTGAGTCAGCTCCTCTGGGAGACATTTTCAATGCTGTCTCCTGTTAAAACTTTGACATTCCAGAAATGATGGGAATTCATTTCTTAAAATGAAAAATCTCTACTGTAACAGGGAGCAAATCTCTGACACACACAGCAGGCTCCCTCCCACTGGCGAAGTGAGACTTTGGGTGGGGTGGACAGCATGGGAGGAAATAGGCCACTGCCATTGTCCCAGGAGGTGTCACTTCCATGTGCAGTGGCTTCTGAGCACAAGGGGAACTGATCACGGGCTGATGACACCTCCCGTGGATCACTTAGACTCACCCAGAGTGATACGGCCTTGGTGTTGTCACCTTTGTTCTTTTGTGTTCAAACTCAGTCCAAGATAAAAATCAAATGCAAGTTCGTGAGGGAAGGGTCCCTTTTACCATGTGACACACACTCGGATGTACAGAAACACACAGCATGCGTACACATACCATGTGCGTGCGTGTGAATACTGAAGAGCCAAATGATAAACTATCTAGTGGGAATCAATAATCACTGTCAGTTGTTCTCAGATTTGCTATGGAGACTATTCAGCGTAAGGGAATTTCATTGAAGTGTTTGGTGCTCTAACTATTTCCTGCAGATTATGAATCATGGGTAATATCACCTTGATTTTCAGCTAGTCAGTGTACAACTATGAGGCATTATACCCAAAAGACTGCTAAATTAACATGGGGGAAGAGACATAAACAATTAAGCTTAGAAAGCTGATTTCATGGGGGCCAGGCATTTGCCCGGATTTTCCGGCTAAGATCTCCAAATTATTGGTCTTGATAAAGAACCTGAACCAAACAACCATTCATCACGTCCCTTCTGTTCCCATGGTAATGGGGCACTTAGACTTCCCCTGAGGGAGGCACCAGCAAGCCTCTCGGGAGGGCACCGCTGAGGGAGGTTCAGGGGCAGGCCAGCGAGCACGTGCCCTGGAACCACTGAGGACATGCAACGCTGTCTCCAGATGTGCCGTGTTGGAGGTCAGAGCACAGGGCTCAAGGAGCAGCTGCCACACCAGAGAACTGGAGGTTATACACATGGGGGTTTTGCCTTTGAGTAAAAGTAAGAAAAAAAGACGGTAGATGTTTATCCCCGAAGAACACTATCTGGCAAACCTTGGAATACTCCACGTGTAGCAGGAGAACAAATGGCTGACTTCCCAGCTGTTTTGTCCTGCACACTGGCCAGAGTAAATTCCCAGACAATCCCAGTCTTTACTATCTAGACCAGTGCATCTCAACCTTCCTAATGCCGCCATGTATTTTCATTGTTAAAAAGGGGTTGCGACCCACAGGTTGAGAACCGCTGATCTAGACAGAAAGTTTCTGTTTATGAACATGGCTGCAGGGAAAAGCAGATTCATTTTTGTCCCATTGCCCTATCTGTAGACTGAGTTGTACCTTGCTAGCTTTTAAGTTGTAGAAGGTCTGCCCCTGTTCACTTCATCTGAATCCTACAAGTTATTGGCATCGTTGCATTTTCTACTCTACTCACCTAAAAAATGTTCTCAATTCTCTGTTCTGTTCTCTGTAAATGACACAGTTCATGGTTTATACATTCAGTGACCCTTCCCTCCACTGAAATGACACATGTGTAATGTCATGTAAAGGGACAGTATGGACGGTGGAAAAGTGATGCTGAAATACGGATACCAGATATTTTTGTATGTAATATAGGCGACATAATGAAACACTGAGAGGTGTATTGGAACAAATACATTTTAAAATAAAAGCATGCAAAACTGTAGCTTTCAAATGTATAGAAATTCCACTCAAAAGTACCTAAACTGATGTGGAGAACAACATTGGGACCTAACATCATGAAATGCACTGAATTAGCACGTCTGGCCTGGAAAGGACGTGGCTCGTGGGGATTGTGGATGGAATCTGCCAGAACGTTTTGATCCTACTCTTCATTACTTTGGGATTTTTCCTTTTATTTTTTTTCTGGAAATATTTCAGAAATAAAGTGACTTCATTTTCCAGCATAAAGGTATATGCTAACCACAGGGTAACTCATCATTTTTAACATGAAAATAAACATTTAAAGATTCTTCAATTGTTTCATTATTTTACCCAAATGTTCCTTGCAGCTTCTGTGCGATTGATCGTTTTTATAGATACATTTTTCTTTCCAGCCATAGATTTTAGTACCCTCGATACAGTAATAAATGGACACCCAAAGAAAACACTTCTTGAAAGTTGCAAACGGCTTTTACTTTTAAAAACTTCTCATTTGTTCTTCCAGAAGACTGGGGAAACTTCCTTTCCAGGTGTCTGAGAAAAAGTGCTGGTGTTTCTCATGTCCATGTCCAAGGTCAAGCCGTCTTGAAACTCAGTGCTGAAATGCATGATGCCGCAGGCGTGGGATAGCCTTTGACCTCTGTCACCCTTTTGATCTTTACTTGTCAATGGTTTGGTTCTCTGTGTGTATTTGGAGCAGGAACTCCTATGGCATGAAAGCCCTGGCAAAGTAGAGCTCTAGAGACATAAGAAAAATACCGGCTAGGGGGGAATTCTGCTGTTGAAGGCTGATGTAGATGTCTCAGCTGAAGGACAAGTGGGTGCATTTGATGGGTCCCTGCAGGCTCTCTGTTGAGGTATGTGCAATTCCTGAAACTGCCAGAGTCATGTGTGGCATTTTGGCAATGCCCTCAGGATGAACAGGGAAACCTCTCTGGAACTAGCTTGGCGTGTCATAACAAATGCCCAACACCGAGACTGGTCTTTCTCCAGGCTCTACAGGCGTCATTTAAGCACCAGGTGTAAACAGGCGCTGGCTCTGTGACACTGAGGCTGCGGAGTAGCAGGCTTCCTGCTTCTAAAATGGTGGCAGCAAATGAGTCAAAAATGTTTGTCCAGGGACACAAAGCCTCCCCCATCAGAATTAGTTCTGAGCACTGTGGGTAACTGTTTTCTGCTAATGGCTTCCTCCCTTCCTTTTTTCTTGTAATGTAGAAGGACTGAGCCACAGAACCCAGCCGGTGCTCCCCAGATCTCAGCATGCACATATACGGTGCAGTAAAGTCTGTTTCAACACAAGAAGGAAAAAAAGTTTGTAAAGGGATTTGTAGAGGAATGAACTCTTTAGATGCTGCGTGCGAGTGCAAAAGGCCAACACTGCCTTTCAGAATGTGGGGTATCGCCTATTATTTTCTTTATGGTTTTCTACAATTGAGATAGGTTATGGAGTTTTTTGTTGTTGTTGTTTGCTTTTTAGACATCGAGTAAAGGCTAATTAATTGCTCATTATGCAAATTAAGATGATGATAATTAGCTAACAAAATTCTATGCTTCATTACCCCACAAAAAATACAAAAAAAAAAAAGTACAGTAACATTCTCATCTGGGTTACTGTGTTTATTGACTTTGTGGCCCAAGGCAAGCAGGATATTACCACTTGAAGTTAACAATCCAAGTTCATTAGAGAAATTACCTTCCCAGTCCAAGAAAGT